GGACGCAAGCAGATTTTGACATCAAATTTTGGAGTAAAAAAGTGCGTCTTATAAACCGAAAAATACGGTATGTATATAATATAAAAACGCCATCTATAGTGTGTAAAATGCCCGACCGAGTCCTTTATCTTGTTAGTTAATGGTTCAAGCCTAAAAAAAAGTGATCAATTTAACTCAACGTATATAATCTAAATATAATGATCTCTCATTATAAACTACTTATGTTTACAATAATTATTTAAACAATATTTTCAAAACGAGACCAAAAACTCTAGCTCTTTCGAATAGTTGACTATTCTACTTCAGGAGAATAAAGGGTTATGTTTAATGAGTGTGATGAAATATATAGGCCTTGGATGTCGATGTCACGTAAACTTTTGTATGTGATCCTGTGTGCTAACTACTTAACCTGTATTTAACCAATAAACATTCTAACTTGACCAATACTGCCCAGTGACTCAAAGGTAAGTCTGAAGACTTACAAAGCTAAAAGCTGGGTTTCGATACCCGTGCCGGGCACAGCACAAATAGACTATTGTATAGCGTTGCACTTGATAACATCCAAACCTAATCCTTGACCACACATCTCCATGTAATTTTCCAGTCCGGGTTTTACTTTAATAAAGGAACCGGATAACGAAGTTCACCGCCAGAACCCAAAAACTTAAAAAAAACTGATTTTTGCTTAAAATGCTAGTATATTGTAAATATATTCTTATAAACCATTGAACTAAAGATATGGATGTAATATGAACAATTCCTGTCTGGACCCTTTTTCCCGGCAATCAATGGCGCGAGTCTTTAAAAAAAGTGATAAATTTATATCGTTACGTTATCCGAAAAACACAAAGTTTTTTAAGCATAAATAACTCATTCCCAAAATCATATTAAACCATTAAAAAGGTTTTTTGCCTTAATATCTTCAATTGATTTTCCAATCCCGTTTTGTAATTTGAGGGAACGAAACCGACCACCAAGGGCTAAAATATTTTTAATTTGAATACATTCTCTGTACATCGCCTGTAAACTGAATATGTTGTAAATGTGCTATTACAAACGACATTACTGTATATTTGTCTGAAATATATTTAAAAGTTATAGAATGTGGGATATCCCAGTCCCGGCCTTTTTTTTCTCGCTAATCAATTGTGTAAGTCTAAAAAAGCCTTGATGGTTAGAAGGCTCCACTCGCAATCTGAGGGTCGTGGGTTTAACCCCTATTACTGAACATTATTTCGCTTTTAGCGCTATAATATTATGCTCAATCCCATTATTGGTTGGTAAAGAGATGGCGGTGGGTGATGTTGGTTAGCTGCCTTCCCTGTAATCTATCGCTTCTCAATTAGATATGGCTAGCGCAGATAACCCTGGAGTAGCTTTGCGCGAAATTCAACAAACTAACAAACACACAATTTATATCGTTACCTTATATTGATTGCAGTACGGGACTGTACTGTCTATCTTTCGCCCCTTTAGTGAACGTGTAATATCCCTCAAAATTATTGTAGTTTTCGTAGTTTTCTGTTTGAACAGAGTGAGACGCAAGAAGCTCGTATGTCCTTCATTATGTGGTTATCCATATTCTCTTGCAGTAAAGAGGAACAGTTGTTCTTTTTGTCGGTGTATCGCAAAATACATTAGGGCATCCATGCCCTTTACAAACACAAGGCACGCCCGTTACCCGTGGGTTCGGGCGCAGATTTTGGCTTTGTATGTATTAATTTACTCAGGTTTATTATCATATATAAACCCAGGTTTGCTGGAAGAGAATCAGATTTTTGGCTATTTTCGTGGTTGTAAATATTCAGCAGAACCTCAGTATAGGCCTTTCCTGACCTTTCTTGTCTAAAACAGAGCTTTTAGATCTACCACAGAGCTTTGACATGTTCTCATATTGTTTATTTGTCTCACCTTGAGTAATAGTAGAATCCAGGTTTTGAGGGAATGAAGTGGACTTACAGCATAATCCAAGCTTCAGTTTAATTTTACTTACTTTGTTTTTTGTGTTTTTTTTAACTTGATGAGATGATTTTCAGATTTTTTAAAACTTAACACACAGAGGGAGGGGGGGGGGCTCTTGAACTGGTGAGAACTTTTCAATAAAGGTTTTCCTCACTAACGTTATCAATTCTACATACCCACGGGGTAATTGTGCTCTTATTTTGTATGTAGTTTATTGTGTTGTGATTAAACATTTGGATATTTGTGTGTCATCTTCTTACTTGTGTATGGAATTAAGTTTTTTTTAGCGGGGAGAAACAGGCTTTCAGATACAATATCTTAGAGCCACCAGTTAATGGGTCTAACTAACTATTTGAGGTATATCTGTGAGCCGGAAAATATACTTAATGTAATTTTCAAGTCCGGTTTTTACCCTAACAAACCTCCAGGGGATAAAAACATTTTTATTTAATATTTTTACTCTAAATCGCATTAAAAAAGTTTATATATTGTATGTTCTTACAAACCTTTGAACTCGAGGTCTGGATGAAACATGAATATAAAACATGGGTCATTCCCTTCTGGACTCTTTCTTCCTCATAATCAATAGTGTGAGTCTTAGAATGTGCTAAATCTATATTATTACCTCATCCAACACCATAAGATGCTCATAACTATAGTCATATTAAACGATTAAAATGTCTTCCTTATTCTCAAATCTTCAAGAAATTTCCCAGTCTGGTTTTTACCTTAATGAGGTAACCACACTCCGAAGCCCACCACCAAGGGCTTAAAACATTTTTTTAAATTCATTTGATATACATATATTTAGAATAGACTGACCAAATATATAATATACTTTAGATATATCCTTAAAAACACGGAACTTAAGCTATGAATAAAATATGAATGCAATACATATCGTGGGACAGGTGAGTTCGAGCCATCATCTTGGCCCGGCCTGGACAGGTGGTTAGGGCGCTTGAATCGCAATCTGAGGGTCGCGGGTTCGAATCCCAGTCCCACCGAATATGATCACCCTTTCAGCAGGGGGGGGGGCGTTATAATGTGACGGTCAATCCCACTATTTGTTGGTAAAAGAGTAGACCAAGAGTTGAAGGTGGGTGGTGATGTCTAGCTGTCGTCCATCTAGTCTTTCACTGCTAAATTAGGGTTGGCTAGAGCAGATAACTCTCGGATAGCTTTGTATGAAATTTAAAACAAAACAACCCTCTTTCTTGCTACTCAATAACGCGGAACTCCCTGTCCACCTCCCCCCCCCCCCAACAAACGCTACATTACTTTAGGCAACAAACACACAACGTTCTCTCAGTATAAACTACTCCTAACTAAAATCTTGATAAACCATTAATATGTCTTTCCTACCATTACATTTTAATATATATTCGAAGTCTGGTTTTTACTTTAATGAGGGAACAAACAAGGAAGCCCACCTTTTTTTTAAATCATTTCTGAATATCAAATTAACAATTTCTCTGTTGTACCTACACTCCCTAAATTTTGTTAGAAGTTCAGCACAAATGGGCTATCAAAGATAAACAAAGAAATCTTCATCCATCCAATGTCGTTCCCAGAATTCGTTTCGCATAGTTAAGGTTAAAACGAGAATGTCATGAGATATCATTACTGCTTCCCAATTTTTCGCACAAGCCAAAATCGCTAAAGATTAACACACTTTCTCTTCCATGTAATCTATTTCATAATTTGTTCAATACTAAAAATATCCTGATCTGAATATTACTACCATGTATAAGTTGCTTTCTAATTCACCACATCACATTTTGTTCAATATACCTCAGTAGGGATTCTTAGGTGAATTAGGATACAAATTGAATATAAATTCAATTATAGTATTTCAGGATATGAATAAAATGATGGAATGTGACTAATGCCAAACTAGTTATTTTGGTATGTTTATGAGATTTCACCTACTGTTTGGATTAATGCATTATTTCGGTGGGGGGTTCGCTCAAGAAATTTCGATGGTTTTAACCTGTCTTTTAGTTTATTGTACAAGACGTTTAATTTTACGCACAAAATAAAATAATTGTAATATCTAGTAAACAAATTAACTTTTATTTAAATATGAGTCCACAGTTCTCAAGGTAGGTCTTTATTTAAAATAATTTAATGGATCGGCGCAAGTGAAGAATAAAAATGAATGAATCTCACTCATATATGTAAATATAGAAATTTCAAAATATTTTTTACTTCGTATCAAAGACTACCATTGTATTTATACTTTATGGATAAAGATGTTTTTTTCCACCGATTCTTATTAAGCTACATAAATTACTTTGTCTTTCAGGCCCCAAATTTTATTTGAGGCTTGAAAGATTTTAAACCTAAATTCCTGCCACGAATTTTGTTGTTTTCGTTCGTATTATTGTTATTTTTGGTTATAAAAATGTGGTAATGATGTTACAGCATCAGATTAACATCAGAAACGTATGAAAAACTAGGTAGTACTTATTATCTAGCAATTAAGAAGAAAATAGTAACTAGTTAGTAACAGGATTTAAGTGATCGTATAAGTTGCTAACAATGATAATGATTAATAATATTATGTTGCATTATAAAGCGCCATCTTAAGCATCTTATGAACCTCTTGTTACTGTAAAATGGCGTCTGATGGTGGTGGGTTGAAAATTGACAACCCTGTAGAGTCAATAGAATCTCTGAGTAAAGAAGTTGAAAAATTGAAAGCACGATTAGAAGAAGAGCGGCAAAAGCTTAACGATGTGGCATGTAAGTTTTAACCAAATTACATAATGTAATAATATTAATAGGCAAAGCTTCCATTTTGTTCTCCAGGACTAGAATATATATATATATTATAGATTAAGAATTATAATTATAAACATAATTAACTTTATCAAGTTTTGATACTTAACTGTAATATAAGTTTAAAAACTTAATAATATAAATATTAGCAATTATCTGTCTCAGTGTGTGTAACATTTTTTTAACTATGGTTTTGTGCTTATAACTTATAAGTTTTTTGTTACTTACTTGAAATTTGAAGTTGAGGCAAAAATTTGGACTTTGGTTTGGATTTTTAATTTTATGTATTTTTGGTATTATCAGTAATAACTCTTCTCGAGGAATACAGTTATTGAGTTACAAGTTACAACTTCCACAGAAAACTTTTTATTTGAAAAGCAGTTCCAACTTCTGTTCATGTTTTGTTCCATAAGGTATAATTAACAGGTGGATGTGATTAAGTAAGAACGAGTTGGACGTTTCTGTATTTTGTTACAGAAGCAGTTGTGAAGGAGAATAACTTTTATAAGAATGTCAGTGCTTTCTTTTTGTAATTCTCTGATGAAAACCTTTTCATTCTGATGTGTCATGACTATAATTTATTGTTAATTGGAAGAGTGACATAAGCAAACATTTAAAATATTAAAAATATATACATAATTTTAGGTGATAACATAGGACCAAAGAGAAATTCTCAAAAACTAAAATTCTATTTCTCTTTGCTTTGATGAGTTTCTGAATATCTGTCTTAACTATCAGTCAAATAGTCCTCTTCATATAGTTTTAATGATGTAGTTAATTTCTGGCTAAGTACTAGGTCACAGATCAGTAATTAACATCAAACATAACTTAACTTGACCAACACAGAATGTAATTTCTGACTGCCAGATCTGACAGATATAGTAGGATCAGCTTATACACAAAAAATAATTTTGCTAATGCCTTCCTTGAAAATTTCTTAAATTCCTTTTTAAGTGTTTACTCATCTTTAACCCTTCAAACACTTGTAGCTTGCAAGAAATGTTTAGAAAACATTTATTTTTCCAAATTTGTTGGATAATTAATTTTGCAACAGCTGATCAAGTTTATCTCAGAACATTATTGTAATTATGAACTTGGAAGGCATATACCTTATTTCAGTATGTCCAGACACCTTTTTTTTATTATTTAGATTCTTGTTCTGAGATTAAGGAGTTAAAGGTCAAACATTACAAAAAGTTGTTTTGGCCAGCAGTTCCTTTATATTTTCATCAATCCAAATGAGAATTGACTTAAAGATACTTCAACAACCCCAACAGATTTGGCCATTGTGCCTTTTGTTTGATTTTATATGGGTCAAAGGTAAAAGAAGTAGTAAAATTAAAGTTTTTGGTCTGTTATTTCTTTAAGTTTTGACCAATCCAGATGAGACTTTGCATAAAGATATCTTATGACCACCCCTTCAGACTAAGGCAGACAGATATGAGATTTATGACTTTCTTGTGATTTTAAAGGATTCACTGAATTGTGACATTATAATACATAGGACAGTTGGTTTCTATGTAAATTCTAGAAAACTTTTACAGGTACTTTCAGGCTAAATAAGACCTATTTTTGACATTCTATATGCAATTTCAGGCACTGTGTAAATTGAAACTCTATAATAACAATCTCCTGTAATATCTACATATAAAAATAATGTCTCTAGATTCAGAGCTCTCTAGTACATACAATGTTTTTAACTTTTGGCTTCTGTAGAATCAAAGAAAAACACAAATAACAAATCTGTTTGCTTTAGTCTGTGTGTGGGTGGGGTGGGGTTGGGGTGTCACAAAATATCTTTGTCACAAGTTTATGTAAAATGTTATATAGGTTGGTCAGATATCTTACTTAAGTAAAATATTTTGCCCTTTGACCACTCTAAACTCTCAACAAAAGCACAAACCCAAAATCTGTCTGTTTCAGTCTCTGGGGGTGTTGCAAGGTATCATTGTGCAATAACATACAGATTGGGCAAGACACAAAAGAATGGCATCCCTAACTTTGCAAAATATGTGTACTTTTATGCTCCAATACATCTTTTTTTGCACAGATGTCTCAAGTTGATATTATGACTGCCCATCAGAAATGTATATTTTGTAGTTTATGCTCCCTTCCCCTGCCTTGAATACCATTTTTATTAAAATCTGCTGTAGTTTGAGGATGGATGGAGGGAGACATATTGCATTCCCTTGCAAATGTTCACCTTTCTAGTTTCATATATATATGTTTAAGTGTTTCCTTGTAAGTTTCATTATTTATGTTTGTATTAATTGGTAGTAAATAGAGCATGGTGATAAACTGTCATTTTTCCTATTGGAAAAAAAATATAACCAGTGTGATTTATCAATATTAATGTCATTGTTTAGAAAACATTATTTCAGAATTTACTGATGATATCTTGTAATGCTACAACATGATGGGAAAAGGCTGTTTTTGATGAGAATATTTCTTTTAATTCAAAAGTTAGTGGGTAAATCCATGGAAAAAAAAATTATTGAGAAATACAAAATGGTACTCTAGGGTTCTAGTATTTTAGGTAATGTTATTTTTGTGAGAGGAGCATCTGTACTGTTAAGAGAAAAAAATCATCAGTTTTGATTGTTGATAAATGTTTTTGTTTTGGTGAAACAGCTGATAAAATGCTGGTCTGTTTGTAGAAGTTGAGAGTATAATGAGACAACTCCTTTAGAGGATTTGGTGCAGATTTGGTTTTATTACAACATGGATATAGACATACTGAAAGTATTGCAGAAATAAGCTGGTATAGTGATCCTCGTTTGCAAAATATTAATTGTGAATAGAAGCGTAAAGACTGGGATTTGTTTACCTTGGTTTGGTTTTATTACAACATGGATATAGACATACTGAAAATATTGCAGAAATAAGCTGGTAGAGTGATCCTCGTTTGCAAAATATTAACTGTGAAGAGAAGCGTAAAGACTGGGATTTGTTTACCTTAAAACATAGAAGAACTAGAAGTGATGGGGAAGTTGAACTGTTTAGGCCAAGATTGTCATCCAACACCATTTTTTGTCAATTTGTTGTAACTAGATTTTTGCAAAGTGATTAGATTTTCTCCAAATATATTTGGTGAGGAATCTAAATGGCATCAAATGCTTGACTCAGATCACATCTTTATTTAAATTAGACATTTTGCATGTTGTACCTTCTATGCTATTTCTAACTTTCTGATTTTTGTATAATTTGATATATCTGGTACATTTTTAGGGGCATAAGATTTCACGATAGTCTGCAGTGCTATATTGAAACAATTATGACTTGATTAACAAAAAACCTTGGTATTTGCTAGTTATAATAACTTCAAGGCCATTATAATACATATTGTCTATAATAATGATTAACAAACAGTCTAGGTTATTTATTAGTTTTCGTAAGTTCAGGACCATTACAATACTTAATAAGAAAGTTTATCCCTAGTTTTGTGTGTTATTTAATAATGTTACACATGTACATTACCCAAAAGTTATTAATTTTCATTTAAAGATTAATATGGTATGGGTAATGTGTTGTGCATGCATCTTAAAATATCTTGTTTAGTTATTGTTTTTGTAGAATCAGCTTAAAGTTGTATAGAATTGTTTTTACATCGAATTATTAAAAATATGTATTAAAAAGCAAATAGTTTCAGTTATACTGGTAAAACAGTCCTCAAGACAAAGCAATTAAAAATGTATATTTTCTCATTTCTATGATATTGGTGAAATTTTCATTCTTCAGATAAAAAAAGTCAGAATAGAAATGACATAATTTTAAGTCATTTTTATATTTTTGTTATTTTCCAATGTTTGAAAAATGCATTTTTATTATTATTATTGCTGGAAAATAAAGTTGCGTGTTAAGTGTTTCATTGTATTAGATACATGTAGGGATATATATTTGTTGTTTATTGAGCTGAGCAATAAACCTTAAAAACAAAACTTAATTACTTTTTTATTACCAAAGTTTAGTATATTTCACATCTCCATGAAATTTTATTAGTGTCTACAGTTGCTGAAAGACTGGATCCCTTGCCAACGTTAAACATCAAGCCTCGTCGAGTGTTGAAAGGGCACCAAGGAAAAGTTCTTTGCTCTGATTGGTCATTGGATAAGAGACATATAGTTAGTTCATCACAGGCAAGTTGTATCATTTACCTGAAGATGTATGTGTACTTTCATCTGGCACACAAACCTAGTTGTAAAAGTGACACTTGTAAAAAGTCAGTTTATGATTCAAGAGTTTTTTTTAGGCAGCTATAATGATGAACATTTCAAAAGTGTTAGTTATTGATGATCTTTTGAAAATTAAATATTGATTCAGTTGATGGTTATAGTTTTGTGATACCAGTTTTTGAAATGTGTCATTATTATATTAAAACACTGTGTGACACATTACATACCATCTAATACAAAAAGTGTATAAGCTTCAGTACTTGTAGACTTGATTTCCCAAATTTACATATCTCAAATTAAGCCTTTATTTTCAAACACTAGATTAAGCCATAGTTTACACCTACACATTTCTCTTGTGTGATGTTCTAATAATTTTAACTCACTTCGGAGTCCAAAATATATTCTGTATAACTGTAAACCTATGCTAGTCATTGTTTTACTAATGGCATGGATACATCTTGACATTATGATATACAAAATCGTTTAAATGTAAACCAGATTTTTCTTGTAAGGTATTGTATTGAAGTAGCTTCTACGATTATTTTTTTTGTGGATTCCTAGCGTTGTTATCAATTCATGTTTGTATAGAGATTGCTTTTTTAGAATAAATTGTCTTTCTTTGAGTTTTATGGATGGTATAAGTTATATATATACTTAAAGATTTGTTTTAATAAATTTCACATGAGGTTACATCATAATACATTTTTTTCTTATGAATTCTTTTAGGATGGCAAAATGATTATCTGGGATGCATTTACGACAAATAAGGTAATTTTTCTTTTCAATGTTATTCTCTCTCAGTTAACAAAAACTTGCTCATTTACTTTTTTAGTAATTCTTAACAATTCGTACTTTGACAAATATAAAGCAACCATTATGGCATAACAAACAATAATATTACCTATGTTAAAGTTATTTGCTAAATACCAGTAAAGCTGTGTAAATTGAAATCTTTTTGAAACAAAAGAATCTGCAGCACCTAAGCTGTAAGCTTTTTCAGAAATTGTTTTCACAATGACTAACATCAAAAACATAAAATAAAATAAATTAAACGTGTAAAAATTGAAATCAGTATGAAGTTACAGGTCATTTTGTTTATTAAAAAATATGTGCATTATACTCCAGTCATTATTCTGTATCTTAAAACTTTGAAATGAAAAATGGTTTTAATATTTTATATTATAAAGTGGCTGCTGTTGTCTGGTGTTTACGATGTAAAGTTTACACTGGAATCACAATGGTGTTCAGTGTGAACTTTATTTTCATACACGTGACTACACACTAAGATAGTGAAGTTTTTTTACATTGTTACTACTGACAGTTAACAGTTTTATCATTTTACCAAACAACTGTCCATCTGTTATTTCTGCCACCTGGGTTGAAATAGATTACTGCAGTCTGGTATTTATCACATTTTTAAAAATTTTATCCACTCTCAAATATTCTGTTAAAGTTACCATACTTTTCTACAATATTGGTATGTAATTATTACTTTTGAAGACATGTCTGTATCACTATAGCGTAAGCACACATGGTGCATCAATTCGAACCAGTTCCTAAACTTCAGGTAAACTCTGTGACTGTGACGTATCATTGTATGGCACTGATGCATGCTGCACAGGTGAAAATAATCTGATAAACAGAATGAAAAATCCTTTATAAGACATAGTTGCTACATGTAATGTCATTTATTGCAGACTTCTTTGATTAAAATAATAATAAGGTTTCAGTAGCTAATAATTATTGTAAGCCTTTAGAAATGATTTTGAGATACCTATATAAATATATATATAATTTTCAAATATAACCTGTAGTAAATGTCAGATATACATAAGACAATTGAAAATAATAGTTTTATCAATGATAAGAAATACAGAAAAGACTAGTTATTGATGGATGCAGTAAAAATTTCAATTCTTATTGATTCAGATTATTATAGTAAATATATTGATTTTATGAAGAATTTATGATGGGATTGTATCAAGAGGTTCGTCCATATTATAAGCACGTTAAATAAATGTAATTGAATGGCCAAAGATTGTGTTTTTTGTGATATTATCACAAAATTATAACCTTCTATGGCTGAACTTCAATGAAGCCAAATCCAATACCTATTCGTTACCATATGTGTATATTATGAATTACAAGTCACTTTGATTAACTTTAGCAATAATTAAACAAACACTCACATTTACCAAGTGTACGTATTTGGTTATGAACTTATAATATAAAACTACTCACCATTCATACTATGGTCACAAAACTTCTCCTCCAAGTTATATATGCCTAATTTGACAAATAACGTTTCCGCTACTTAGCACTCAAAATTATGTGTGTGAAAAAAATAGTAAATCTCCAGTAATGTTTAAGGATGTTACACTAATTTGCTTTCAGATTTTTTTCTTACATGCATATTTTTTACACTGTGGGGTAAGTTCTATTTCATATAATTCTGTACAGTGGGAGTTATAATTTATTCTAAGAAATTGTTAACTTGACTAACAATAGATTAGCAATAAGAATTTTTGTTACAATACTTTCCACTGCTAGACTGATGCCTGAGATGAAAGTTTGAAAAAATGGTGAGAGGGAAATTAATTTGAAAAGTTTACACTACATTTATTAGTTCAATAAGTATAGAATTTCACTCATAGTGACCTCTGTGTGCACCTAATTAAAAAACATCAAAAAATTTGATATGAAAAGTAATAATAATATATCTGTCATTAATCATTCGAGAAAAAGATCCAGTGATTGCAGGTGGTACGTTGTGAAGATACCCAATCTTTTAAATTTGTAAAATTACACAATTGTCTAGTTGAGAACAAATTCATTGATTAAGTGATATATTTCAGTTTCTTGTAAGATGTTTTTTATGTCTTTTGCAATGTATTCAATATCCAAATGAATTATAAGTTCATTTTTCTTATACCTTGCTTTTGTAGGAACATGCAGTAACGATGCCAACAACTTGGGTTATGGCATGTGCATATGCTCCTTCGGGAAACATGGTAGCTTGTGGGTAAGTTTCATTTTACTCCTGTTTTGTTTTAAAGCTGTTAATTTAATTATTTGCTTTGTTAGTTTTACTTTCTATTTAGTACAGGTTAGTAGTAAGCCACCTTTCCTTCACTTGTGCCAGTAATGTGGCTTTACCATACTCGTGTTTTGACAGTCTGATGAAAATAAATATTTTGATTAATACTGTAGCATCTTTGTAGTGTAATTAATGATATAGTCAGGTAAAGAATATATATAATTTCTCTGGACCACTATTCCCCACAAGTGTACAACAATAACCTTTTATTTCCAAATTAGTGTTTTTTAAAAATAAATAAACCACTGTTAGTTAAGCATGGTCTAAGTGAACATATACCTTTTATTGAAGATGTTACTTAATTGAAAATTTTGTAGACCAAGCAACTAAAATTGAAATATTTTTGTTATATAGAGGTCTGGACAATAAGGTAACCGTGTACCCACTGAGCTTTGAGGAAGATGTATCTAGTAAGAAGAGAGCAATAGGAACTCACACAAGTTACATGTCCTGCTGTCTATTTCCTAATTCAGACCAACAAGTAAGTTTATTTTATTTCCAAATACACTAAGGCCAGGTTTATTTTAATTTTTACGTGTTGTACAATATGTTTGGTTTTTTTCATCTCTGTGTGGTTACAGGATAAGGCATGGGATGCAGTATGCATTAGTGGATAACTAAACTTTTAAAGAATTTCACTAGAACATAGATAAACAAATGGAAAAAATTAATAAATAATGTCTGTTTTTTTTTATAGTTGAGTGTCGTCGGTTACCCATTATTTTAAATCAAATAGACATTTGTCAAGAGAAAAAAATGAGAGAAAATTATCATTCTTCCTACACGCACATACATATTTTGATAGCATACCAATATTCACCCACTTGTGATAGTTTATAGATGATGTTTCAAATTGCTACCACAGACTTTCATAAGGTCAGACAGGAAAGTCATGTACATATTATTATAAAAAGAGAAGTGAAGAGCTTGAAGTCCTATTGTGTGAAAAATTGTAAGTTGAAGTTATGTTGGATTGAAACAGTACTGAAAAAACAGATTATTTTTTCTTTCTTTCTAGGACTGTTGAGAGCATTAGCAGAATATAGATTCATGATTCATTAATTTCAGTTTCTTGGTCTCTGTTGTATTTCAGATGGGTCATATAAATAGGAAACGACGGGTTCCCCCCCCCCCCCAATCTGGAGTTTTGACAAGTTTTGAAACGGTGTGCTGATATTTTGACATGTGGTATAGACATTATTTTGTCTAAGTCTGGTTTACCATTCATTATCATTAATTCTGGTATGTAGATGACTGGGTGGTCTGATGTTGGTAAGTTTTTTCCTAAAGTTTAGAACCAGATTTGGAGGAAGTGTGGAATTTGAATTATTAAGGGGTCTTCTAGATTTATGGCTGATGTTAGGAATATTTGAAATTATATTAGCTGCATAGTAATTGTGATCTCTGTTCTGGCATTTTAGCTAGTAAATAATCACTGATGAATTTCTTAGAGTAGCTATTCTGTTTTAGGAGGAAAAAAAGTAGATCAGTTCATTCTGGAGACATTTGGGTTCTGAGGTTTTTATGTAAAAGGTGTGAGTGACAGAATTTAAAGATTTGCTTTGGGTTAATTAGTAAGCAAAACACAGTAATGTGATAAGCTTCTAATTTCCATCTGTGACTAGGAAATAGGCAGCAATTTTGGTATTGTTCGATACCAAGATATCAAATTTCCTTCACTTTTGTATATCAAATTTATTTACATTTATTTGTACATGCAGAAACATTAGCCTATTATTTTGATCATATATTTAAGTTCAACCTCTAAGATACGGTCCTTCCATTAGTTTTTACCTGCACTGACTAGAAGATTGACAAATACACATGCAAACTTATTGACCTTCCAATGTTTTTTTCCTATGTAGTAATTTTGCAACCATAATGAATACATCAAATGCAACCTATGAGCTCGGGCATCCAGGAATAAGAGTTTTCATTTGATTTTAGTTACCATCGTGAAGGTAATTCTTAGATGTTGCAGTTTCTGATGAGAAAGGATGTTGTTGTACAGTAGTGACATCAACATTCCTGATTTAAAGTTCGAGTTTGTGAGTGAAATTGGAAATGGCATTATTTTCCAGGTTAAGACATTGGTTAAGACTGGAGTCCCGAAGAAATTCCTTTCCTAATCCTTCTGTTTCTTATCCAATTGAAAAAATCTTGATTTAGCATAGAGTTGTTAGATTCGAGTAGAGTGCTGGAAAAGGTTAATTCTAAGAAACAGAGTGAAGTCTTCTTCCAGACTTTTTTTTAAAATTTTGTGTAGGATGTCAGAAACAGGAATCTTAATAAATAGGTTTGCCTCGTGAAAACGTACAAGGAAATTCTCATGAATTGTTGTCACATGTTTTATCTCAAGAATGAAATTAGAAGAATTGCTCACACTGAGGAGTTGGTGTCTGAGATGGTTTATTATGGGAATCAGAAAACAGTTAGATTGTGGTGTAGTGAAACTATAACAATGACAGTGGGTCACGAGGATGTCATGTTTCTGTATTTTTATGAGGGCGTACAGGAAGGATGTGGTTGAGTGATTTGGCTCATATTTATATGAATGCATTTTTTGTTTGTTATTAATGTATCATTTAATCTCACGAGACACGGTTTGTTGTAGCTGGGAGTAAGTACTCAACCCAGATTTGAAGATTTCATGTGATAAAACTTTTTAATTACTATAAGATTTAAATTACTGTCTTTTCAGATTCTCACAGGAAGTGGAGATAGCACATGTGCTCTGTGGGATGTGGAGTGTGCCCAACTCCTCCAGAGTTTCCATGGCCATGGAGGTGATGTGATGAGTCTAGACCTGTCTCCTTCAGAAACAGGAAATACCTTTGTTTCTGCAGTAAGTTTTTAATTTTTAGTTGATTTTTGAGGTAGTAAAAGAGGGTGAAAGGCCTCATCAGCAATGAATGTAGCAGATGTTTTGTGGTTGAGATATTGTTGTACACTCTTCTTTACTTTTACTCATAGGTTAGTGT